GCCCGCGCGCAGCGGCGAATGGGCGCGCCCCCAGCCGCTGTGCACGGCAGAAAAGAGCTGGGGGAGAGACCCAGCTCCACATATTGGTGGAGCAGGGCCCCTAGCTCTGTAACTCACTGGCACTTCTGGGTTCAGGGGTGCGGGGCCCGAATCGGCCTAAGGCCGGCCCAGCCGGTAGCCACCAGACATGCTGAGGCCTGGTATTTTTTTTCCCGTGGCCAAGTACCGGGCCGCAGCCCATAGTTTGGGAAATGCTGTTTTAGACTGATTAGTATAGCGATTTTCATTTTAACACACTGAGAGCAAACTGCAACGGTGACAGTTTCTTGAGGTTAGCGGGAGATGGAGGAAATTGGCAAGAGTTACTGTGAGGATGAGCACACAGCATGTGTAGCACAGGAAATCTGATTCTCTAACCAAAATTTAGCTAGACAAGGGGACTGTATACCGTGCTGTCAAGGGACTCAAGGCATTGGTCTCCACTTAAGGGATTAGCAGAAGTAACTCCAAAGACAGCAATAAAAAGTATAAATCCGGGGGGGAGAGGGAGGCGCTGGGATGAGAAGGAGAAGATACAGATTTGGAATATATGTGTCTTGTCTTTCTGAAAGAGCAGATCTGGAGCTACAGTACCTTGCCACTGAATTGTAGCACCTTGAATACTCAGCAGGCTGTAAATAATCAGCTACACTTTAACTACAGACTATAACTTCCCTAATATGCTTAAGGTTGTCTTTGCCAACAAAAATGTCATATATTTTTAGACTCTCAAACTGAATTTGTGTGTGTTCATTTCAATAGGCCATTTTTAAAAACACTTCTGGGTGGAGGAAGCTCTACTGGGCAATTGACTGCTATGTACTTTCTGTAGAGCCCTCATATAGGTGCTGGTGGGCAGGCAGTCCTGCTCAATCTTGGCTCCCGAACACTACCCCTGCTATGGTTCTGCAAGGAAAGTATTATTGCAGAGCTGCAGCTAGGATAGCTCCCAGGAGCCAGCTCGAGTTGGGACTGAGCCAGGCTGCCTTGACTGCTGGCTCCTAAAATACTCTTCATGCAGAGCTGCAATGGAGGGTAGTTGCTGGACGTGGTCCAAGCCAGGACTGAGTGCTTGCAGTGCTAACCCTTGTTAATTAATCATGTATTCAACAATTCTTTTGTCAAATACATGATTAACTTCTTTTCTTAACATCCCTAGACTGCAGAAAGATACAAGGTTTGATATTCTTTCCCAGAAAACACCTTATTTTAAAGACAAGTTTCTACACAAATCCCTCAGCTGAACTGTTCAGTTGATCCTGGCTAAAGATTCACAAGGAAACTGTTGTCCCTCTCTAAAAGGGCCATGCTTTTTCCTCGCAAGGGTTTCACAAGGAAACTGTTGTCCCTCTCTAAAAGGGCTATGCTTTTTCCTCGCAAGGAAGTTCATTTATGTAATGTTATGACTGTGCATTCATTGTAAAAAAAAACTTTGGGGAGGGGATGTTGTGATTTTTTTTTTTAAATATACCAAGTTAACTAACGGCATTCATTGTAAAAAAAAACTTTGGGGAGGGGATGTTGTGGGTTTTTTTTTAAAAATATACCAAGTTAACCATCCATGTAAAGTCCTTGTGGATATAAGACAATTAGTTTTTAATCTGTATGTCCCTAGTTGAAAAACTCCAGATGTAAGATATAGAGTGGATCTTGGTGTGTGGGTAAGGTGCAAGGTGGTGTGGGGTTTTGTGCAGTAAAGTCTAAACCAAAGCCTCAAAAGATCAGGTTGTTCATTAGAAACATGGGAATTGGGAGAGCTTTGAAACTCTACTATAATTTTTTTTTACCTGAAGAAAAAGATTAAAGTTGTCTTATAACCCCTTTGATACTTTCTTAAGGATTATGTCACCATGACAACTTGATTATGAAGACTACAACAGAAGATTTACTCCCTCAAAATAACTGAAAAATTGATTAAAATGTACTTGGTTTCCTTGCCTTGTAATGATCAAACTCTTTTAGGCACTATCATGAAGAGAGCCATGTAACTACCAAAATGGTAATTAGGTGTTTTTCCCTAATGTCCATTTCTTCACCAACCTCAGTAAAGAACAGCTATAACCATGTGATCTGTTGGAAAATTCAAAAGGAAATCTGAAGCGTAGCAAAGAAGATGGAGATGTGGCACAATCCTTTTATAAAGGACAAGATAAGCGCACAGTTAACTTGAAGCAATGTGTCAGTGTGATTTGGGTTTTGATATGGCTAGAGACTTCAATGTTTTTAAAGAAATAAATAATACTGGGGATTGTGTGACTTTTTTTAAATAGGAAACTTTAACTTCGCAGATACAGATTAGAGGACAAGTGCTACTAATAATAGTAGAACCCAGAATTTCCTGGATGTGGTAAGATGACAGATTTTCTTCACTGAATAATTGATGAACCATCAAGAATTGATGCCATTTTAGATTTGATGTTGGTGAGCAGTGAGGATCTCCTAAAAGAACTGGTTGTAGAGGACAGCCTTGCTTTAAGGGAGCATGAGAACATTTATTTTAAACTAAAAGTGGAAGGATAAGCAAAGATAGATCTGCAGCTAGGGGGGGGGGGGGTTAATTATGGAAGTAAAGTTAACTGAACTCAAGGATCTGAATGTTCAGGAGGCTTTCACAAGCAAGGGGGAAAATCATAGGGAAGAGTTACAGAGCAATCTTTTCAAACAGGTGATTTTTTTTTTTTAAGACAGACATTTTGCTATCCTTTTAAGAATGGAAGATGAGAGGGATTATCAAGGAAGGCTACCTCTTGAAGGTCAGAAAGTGTAGAGATAAAATGAAAAACTTCCAAAAGCCAAACAGAATTGGGCCTTGCAAAGGGAATTAAAACAAAATAGTAAAATTTAATAAAAACAAAATAGTAAAATTTGCAGGTTTAAGTTAGTATAGATGGTGAATTCTCTGTAACTTGAAGTCTTTAAACCACGATTTGAGGACTTCAGTAACCCAGCCCGAGGTTATGGAACAATAGAGGTTCTGTGGCCTGTGATGTGCAAGAGGTCAGACTAGATGATCATGATGGACCCTTTTGACAAAGTCTGAGTACACCGAAAACCTGTTTGTGAACAGTTAAAGAATATGATCTATCCCTCTTGTTCAGGAGTTTTCTAAAGCTCACTACCCTCCAGGTGTGCTGCTATAAAAAGATCTGTATTTGGCCCAGTTTGTGAATTCTAACCCCTTAATATCAGAGTTTCTATAATCTAGATAGGGTTGTTCCAACCACCAATTAAAATTGCCTGACACTTCCCATTAGAAAGCCCTACTTTGAGTTGCTTTATAACTTTACCAAATTTCAACTCTTGAGGCTGAAATTTCCCACACTGTGTGTCTGCCTCAAACTGAAATAAACCTCCCTTGCTATAATTTAAGGTTATTTAGGTTGGACATTAAGAAAAACTTTTAAACTCTCAGTCTAGTGAAGCACAGGAGTAACTTTCCTAGGGATGTTGGGGAATCTCCATCATTAGAGTTATTTAAGAGCAGGTTAGATAGACATTATCTAGATGGTGCTTGGGCTTGTCGTGAGTGAGGGGACTGGACTTGATTGTTTCTCAAGGTTCCTTCCAGTTCTGTGATTCTCCTGAATCTTATCCTTCCTCTCTTAATGCCAATCTTGATTTTGTTTTTTCTGTGCAGTGTGGTTTTCTGGTGTGGTGCATGGCTCCAAGCCCTTCCAATGGAGCAGAGTTGCTCTACAACCGAATTATCCGTCCTTTCTTCTTGAAGCATGAGGCTCAACTGGACAATGTAGTGAAGGATCTGAAAGATAAAGCTGCAGAAACTGCGGATGTCATTACTAAAGAAGGTGAGACCAAGAATGTAATCTTGACCTCAAGGACTGGGAATTTACCTTGACAATTTCAGGGCTGACACCTTTCAAACCATTTTTTTTTGTCTTAAAAGATGCTGATTTGGCAGGGGTTTGTTGGGGTGTGTATTGCTTTGGTTCTTGTAGTGAACTTCACTTAAGGCGAAAGTAACGGGGAGAGAGGACTTAGATGTAGAGAATACTTCTTTCATGTGTGTCCGTGCTAAGCAACAGAACCCTTGAAGGACGTTGCTTGTATGAAATGGTCCAGTTGTTTTGCTTGTCCATACAACTGCTTAGCATGCCCATAAAGTTGTGGTGTTAGGATAGAACACCACAGGGATAAACACTTCATTCAGCACATTGCACAAGGCAATCACTACAACTACAGGTATTGTAATGAATTCTGGGTCACCTGAAGTACTTAAGAATGTGGCGCTGTGGAAAAACTGGCAGATGTTTAATATGACGAATTGTTATTACTTGGAATTCAGCCCTTGAGGTGAAATAAGTGCCTGCATTTTTCCTCTCCCAGAAACCCCATATGCTCAATCCAACATTTTCTTTAATTAAAGAGTGATTTACATCTCTGGAGAAAAGTGAAACCCCCATAGTGACTAGATGTACAATTGCTTGAGCTAAATGGTTTGGAGAGGCTGGCATGGAGGGAAGAAGGCTGGTGGCTGTTCAGTCCTTACTTAGCTCCCAAGAAAGCCAGGCAGGAAAACTGCTCTGTCAATGTCTCATGTAAAATACGGATAAATGGGGATGTAGCTGAACTTGGAGTGTTAGCGCCTTTCTCCCTTCAGATTTAGAATTTATTGAATAATTTTTGGAATTTTCTGAAAATTTGAAACACTTTATTTAGTATTAAAATATCTTTGATTTCCTCGTTATTCTCTAATCCTTCAGTTGCCCTACCTGAATGTAAATGACTCATTCCTTATCTGTCGTTCCTATCCTTCCTGAGACAAACACCTCCCATTTGGTAAACTAGGTTTAAAGCACAGTAACTTCTTTCTAGGGATATAAGAATGTAGCCATTTAAATGGATAACTGATAAGCATTACCTTACCAGTTTACCAAATGGTTACATATGGCTCCAGGAGCAAGGTGACCGGTGGGAGCCAGTACATGCTGGGAGCCAGCTGGCTCCCAGGCCTGGCCAAAGAGTTTGTGGGGCTCAAGGTGGCATGTTGTGGTTGGCTGCATCCCATGGCCAGGCGGCTTCCAGCCAGGGCAGCAAGCGAGCAGCCAGGCAAGCGGGGGTAGGCGGGCGCCGGGCAGCGCAGGGCTCTGAAGGTGTGGGGCCCAATGCAACCGCCTTGCTCGCCTTGCCCCAGGCTGGGCCTGGGTGGATGTTTGGGCGCCGGGCAGCGCAGGGCTCTGAAGGTGTGGGGCCCAATGCAACCGCCTTGCTCGCCTTGCCCTAAGCCCAAGTCTGTTGGCTCCTGACATGCACTGGCTCCCAGGGAGCCAGCTGCCACTTCACTCTGCTGCCTCTGTACCACAAGCAGCC